TCAGAAACCTTCAAAACGTCGAGAAATGTAAAAATTTTTGATTTCGATTTTTGGACGATTACTATAACTTACCCTACGGAAGTTAATAAATCTAATTATCAAATCGAGTAACATTTAAGATTTTTAAGCCAAAGTAATATTACTTGATTTTTAAATAAGAGTTGTAATAAAATTTCTAAAAAACTGAAGAACAAAACATGGTGGTGCAGTTGGTTTCAAAAAAAATTCCGACTTCACGGTTTCGAAAAAAAAAATTCTGTTCATGCAACTTGCCTTAAGGCAAAATATCATTTTTAGCTAGTTAAGGGTTGAATATAATATAATTTCAACTAATCAGACCACTAGCTATAATGTTCAAAATATCGTCGCCTATTATAATGACAATTACAAACCTTACAAGTCTTTCTGTACAATTAATGCATGTCTCTAATTCATAGACTACAATTAGTATAAGTCTATCTCTAATTGAATTTAATTATACTATATCCATCGAGGTCAATGTCGCAAAATTCTCCTCTATCGAATATCTCCTTTGCAAATTTTTAGCGATCCGCCAAGTTTGTTTTTCGAACGACGCCGAGGCGTTCGGGACGAAATAAATACATATACGCGCAGTGCTAAATAACGCCTTTGCTAAATTGCGTCTCATTCGATATTGGAGATTCGGAGAAAAATTATATTTGAAAATATAGATTGATAATAGATACATAATTTCATTATATGTATATATTTTATTAAAAATTCGTGCGCGTTTGCGCTAAAAAAGTGATAAGGATGTGAGTGAACGCAAGGACTAGATCATATTTGTTATACTTGTGTAAAGTGTGTGATTTATTATTTTACATATGAGCCCTGGTGTTTTTTTTTTAAAAAAAATGAATGTGTTATAAATAAATGCTTTGGTAAATTTAGAAGTTGTTCTGAATAAAATTTTGTGCTAATTTTCTTTAAATAGTAAATGCTGGAATTCCAATTTTATTAATGAGCGCGTCGCCATACAAAAATGTAAAAGTATTTACTTTTTTACCATTTTAGAAGTATTTTTGCACTTCATATATTTTTATACTATTTAAGAAGTATTTTTGGAAAAACAGGATAAAAATGCTTAATATTTTAGTATTTTATTAATATTAATATTTCAAAGCATATCAGGCAATTTTCGTTAAATTTTTACAGTCAATTGTTATCCAAAGGCTTAATTTAATTATTGAATATATATTATATAAAATTTAAATAAAATCGGATATGCTAGAAATGATATTTTTTTCAATCGCCTGACCTAGATAAATATATAAATTACATTTTTATGCAACTCTTGACATCAAATCTATATTTTTTCTGTCTATAAGACAATCAATAAAATACAAATAATGCATAATCAGTCTATCCTATAAACAGTATTTTAATGGCAATATTTGCTCTAGAAATGTGTTCAAATTCCATAAATTAGTTAAAAATAAAAAATGTGGACTATTTTGAAGAAGTTTCGGCGCAAATTGTGCAAAGTGCGAATTGTGTGGCTGAGGAGATTATCACAGGTTCAAATTTAATAATATTAAAAAAAAAATTAATTGTATGCAAAAATCATAGCAAAAATATAATTTAAAATAAATTGCATTTAATCTAGATTTTGTATTCCTTTTACGAAAATGTATTATTAAAATAGATGTATAAAATGTAAAAATGTAATGTAAAAAAAAGTCCTTCTAAATTTAAGCCTTTAATAAATTTATATTTGATTTAGACGTTTTTACTGATATACAAGAAACATACTAAAGAAATTCAAATTAATAAAAAATCCTTGCTTAAAATTATTAAGAACTTCTAATCCAACCAGATTCTGTTTTTTATAACTTTAGATTTTGTCTTTTATACATTCTAGCTAGTGTTGAAAATTTTGCTTCTATATAAATATATAAAATAAATCCGATAAATCTATGTAAATATATAAAGGGTCCAATTTTTTCAGATACTAAAAAATTTTTCAGTTGCTAGCTTTATAAAGTGATATTAGTCAGCTAATTTTGAGTGCAGACATAAATTTTTCATTAATAACTTATTAGTATAAAAATAAAATTTGCTTCAGGTATTTATATGCCATTATTTACTTAAGAAATTTTTAAAGCTATTTTTGTTTAAAATTGTCTCGAGATTGTTATTTGATTAGTAAACCATTTAAAACAGTTCAATGATTAATTGAAATGCTGATGTTGTTATTGTTGTAAAAATAACAATAAAATTGTTTGTTATTTAAAAAACTTCCTACCAAAACAGACTAAAATCTGTATATAATAATAATAATTTAATGATTAAAAATGATATAAACCTACTAATGTAATATTTATTTTTGTGTCTGGTAACAAAACTTTTTAATAAATGATTAAATTTTGTGAGAAAGTTTTCTCATTTTAGTATTTGTCATCATGGTATATGTATTAATGTATAACATACTCAAATTATTCACATTTTGTGCAAACGGTTTGTCCTGAGGAGCTCCTCAAAATCCTAACTTCATTTCCAAGACCTATTTTAACATTATTTATTTCTGGTACTTTATTTAGAGATTATCTAAATATCCTAAAATTTTCTAGGAAAAGTTATCAATTTTAGTATTTGTCGTCAAAGTACGTATATCAGTGTATAACATACTCAAATTATACACTTTTTGTGCAAACCGTTTGTCCTGAAGAGCTCCTCAAAATCTTAATATAATTACCAAAACGTATTATAATATTGTATCAACCTGGTAGGTACTTTATTTAGAGATTATCTAAATATCTTAAAATTTTGTGAGAAAAGTTATCAATTTTAGTATTTGTCATCATAGTACGTATATCAATGTACAGTATACTCAAATTATACACTTTTTGTGCAACCAGTTTGTCCTGAAGAGCTTCTCAAAATTGCAATTTTATTGAATAACCTAATATTGTTAATCGCTAGAGCACAACTCAGTAGTCAAACACTCTCCTCAAGTGCAATTTCGATATCATACTGCTTGATATCAAGCTGACCAAGGTTAATATAGAACCTGTACTAGCCAGATATAGCTGGATTTCGATAAAACAAATTTCAGAAAAAAATCTGATAAATAAATTACTAATATTTATATCTGTCTATCACATTGTAGGTGTGTTTTTTCTCTCTAACTTGTTTGTAAACATTAAAACTGGCATTTTTTACTTTCTGGCAGACATTTCGACGTATTCTGAATTTAGAATGATCTAAAAGGTTTTCTGGTCAAATTGGATCAGTTCCAGGAATTTTAAAAATTCGATGCACATAACTGCATGTTGTAATATTATGCAACAAGATACTTCGATACTTTTAATAGGATGACGGAAACCTTACAAGATTTTAAATATATATATATATATATATATATATATATATATATATATAATATAATATGATGTAATATTGTGCTGACCTATTGAATGAAAGTTACGGTTTTGCCTATAAGCTATAACCTTTAAGGTATTAATTTATTTCTTTACTAAATTTATTTAATTATTCACGAACAAGCTAATAATTATAAATATTATTTTATGCTCTCGTCAAGGATTTTTAATTTCCTGAAATCCATATCCTGATCATTAGAAAAAATTATAAATATGATTAATTAAAAATTTATAAGACCAGGTTTAATAGTTTCAGATATGAATTCATATACATACTTCATATACGTACTTCGACGACAAATACTAAAATTGATGACTTTTCCCAGAAAATTTTGGGATATTTAGATAATCCTTAAATAATGTACCTACCAGATTGATATAATATTATAATATGTTTTGGTAATTATATTAAGATTTTTAGGAGCTCTTCAGGTTCTTTTGTGCAAACTGTCCACGTTTTCGGGCGCACGGATCAACCGAATGGTTTAAAAAACATTCGATCCCTATTGATAGGGAAATATGCTGATTAGTTTTTGGCAAAGGCAGATACAGCCGTTACGGAGATACGGAGCAAAGAGTGCAGAAAATGCAAATCGAGTTTTTGAGAGAACGGAGTATCGGATTTGAATAATCTAAAAAACATTCAATTTGTAATCATTGCGAGAAGAGGTGATTAGTTTTTGGCAAAGACAGATCCCGCCATTTCGAAGTTACAGAGCTAAATGTGCAAAAAATGACAGTTTTTGAGAGAACTAAGCGCCCGATTTGAATGATCTAAAAAACTTTCTGCTTGTATTGACAAAACAATTGCTTTTGAGGATAAAAAATTATTACATTTTTTTTTTATTTTTCATAAAATATTTTTGTAATTTTGGATTAAAAATTCAAAAAATAACCCAGGCTAAGCACAGTCTAAGCGTCTCTCTGGTACAAATGTTTACCCAAGTGCGTTTAGACTGTTTGTGTATTGAAGCACTGTTCCAATTTTGTGAAAACTTGAAAAATGTGAAAATGCTGCCAAGCTAAGCACAGTATAAGTGAAACTGTCGCACAGAATTGTTTGCAAATGCGTTTAGACTGTGACTATACGGGAGTACTTTTCAATTTTGTGTAAATTAGGCAACTTTTTTTTTTTAAATTGATTTCGAAATGAAATGACGATTGTTAATGTTCTGGAGATGAATTGATTTATGAGTCACATTTGATTTGCTCAGATATAACAAACAAGATAGCAAAAATAATGAAAGTTACACAGTATTTGTAATAATATATTTCAAAAACGTTTAAAATTTCTCGAATACTTCATTACGGTACGGGAAGTTCCAGAAATTTGCCTTAAGGCACGATGCCATACACCACTAGTTTATTAATATTTATTGTCCTTTTTCAGTCCTATCTCTACACGGCCAGATCTCATTCCGATTTATCGGCCATAGTCGGCGCACGAACCGGAGGTGCGACTCCACTGCTAATCGCCTGCAGAAATGGGCACGAGGATGTGGTACAGCATTTGATCGAGAGATGTCATGCTGATATCGAGCAGACTGGATCGGGTAAGTAAGGAAATTGTAATTAAATAAACGAACTTAGATAACAGGGTCTTTCTGAATCAACTCCATAACATACGAGTGACGTTGCAGTTTGTGTGTAAAACGTCTGGATGCACAGCAAATGCATGACATTTTGTATTGTATACACAGGGCCGGTCCTGGGGTCCTTAGCGCCAGCATGCAACTTTTTTTCTAGCGCACCCCCCCCCCCCCCCCTATTAATTTTCACCGTTTTAACAGTTTATCATTAAAATTATATAAATATCTCCATATTTTTTCAAAATTCTTAATTATTCTGGATTTAGTACACAAAAAATAGATATAATCTAGAAGGGTATAAAATAAATTGATTTTAAATTTATTTATTATTATCGATATCAATAAATAAAACAATTATTGTTGTTTCATAATTTCACATTTTAGTAATATTCAATATCTAGTAAATTTGTTAAGGATGTAAGTTCGACTACCATAGCAAAAGAATTAATATTTTTGTTAGATTAAAGTTATAAAATTTAAGAAATGCATTTCAGAAATAATATTTATTATTTTGATAAAAAGATCTTGATCTCAAAATAATAAATACTATTTCTGAAATGCATTTCTTAAATTTTATAACTTTAATTTAACAAAAATATTAAGTAAAATAAATAAATTAATTTTTAATTATTCTTGATTTAGTGCACAAAAAATTAGATATAGTCTAAAAGCGTATAAAATATATTGATTTTAAATTTATTCAGAAAATCGAGGCGATTCGGGGGTTGATTATATAATAATCAAGTATTTTGAAATTTTCAATTATTTTTAACGTATGTGCAATATTAATATTTAAAAAGACTAGCATTTAATTTTCAAACATAACACTTAACATAACAATTTAATTTAATTTTTCATCATTTACAATATCCAAAATTGCGTCGTAAACTTCTCCTTATTGATATCGTAAGAGCCGTCACATTCAGAGTATCAGCTTGTTGTTTTAAAGTTAAATTTTTAACGTATTTTAGAAGTATTGTTCAAAAATCAGTAAAAAATGCGAAGAATTTACACATTTCTTGAACAATATTGAAAAAAAACTTATTATATTTGATATGTATTATTTCTGTATAGTCAATAATTATTAAATTTAGAGTATGGACACGACTAGGTATAAAACAAGCCTTAAGATTTTCGTTCCAAAGTAAATTTTGCTTCCATTTTTCATATTTGTTCCACGCATGTCTTCAACGTTCAAAGTTCAACAGATGCGAAACATTTGCAACAAAAGCAAAAGTTAAAATTCAATTTCTCGGAATAAACAAGCCATTTTCTAAGCACTGACTCCCAATTTTTTATAATTTATTTATATTTTTTAACAAGTTCCGATTCAATCAGTTCGCAATTTTTCGGCAATAATGCCCAACAATTAATTTAATCTTCCGCAGGTTTGCGCTTATGGGATTGAACACTAGATAATTTCTTTTTCGATTCCACGGTAACTTTAAACAAAGAAAAAATTGAATAAGTAGATTAAGCAATAAACAGAGCTGTTATTTACTAATTTGCAGAATTATTAACGGGTTAATTGTTTCTACTGATATCTCATTGCAAAATAAATATGCTTTTTGTGTCTCCGCATCTCTAGTTAAGTTAAATTATTTATTATAATTTATTAAATATTTTAGATTTTAAATAAATAATTCTAGATTTTATATAAAAAAATATAAATATTATATTATAAATTTAATTTCCGAAACTCGTTTTGGCGCCCCCTAAGACTTGCGCCCGCAGTTTTTGCATGCATCGCATGCAAGGCAGGACCGGCCCTGCGTATACAGTTTTCAGAATGATTCAGTAGTATTCAGTATCTGATTTTTTCCATTAAATGTAAAGCTTTTACTAGAAGTTTTACACCCTGTTACGACTAGTAGCGTTTCTAGCGGCGCCAAAGCACAATTATTCCGATGACTCGGAAATATCCTTCAAAAATGAACTTATTTCCTTATCTATGGTTGTACTGTTTCATTATAACGAATTTTCTTCTCAGTGATTTTCGATGGCGAGACGATAGAAGGAGCACCACCTCTTTGGTGTGCAGCAGCAGCCGGTTGGTCCAGTGTAGTACGCCTCCTAGTCTCCAGAGGCGCCAAAGTCAACTCAACAACCAGAACCAATTCCACACCTTTGCGAGCGGCCTGTTTTGACGGCCACTTTGACATAGTACAGTATTTGGTAAAAAATGGAGCAGGTAATAAATGATACAGACAAGGGAATGCAATACCGGTATACCGAATTACCGGTAAACCGCCCGATTTTTCGGCGGTATTTTTACCATTCCAAAAATATCGGTATTTTCGGTATTTTTACATAAGCGCTCTTTGATACATAATACCCTAAAGTTTAAATTTCTCGGAACAAATTTATCTTTAAATTCCATAATCGCATAAACAGCTATATCGTCAAGTGATTCTATAAGATAAACAAATGTCAAATATTATCTCAACTCGTGGTTAAACTGAATATTTATTGCTTTCCAAAGGGCTTCATATCGTGTTAAAATAAATAGAATTGGACTGATAGATAATGATGTTTTGTTTCATCTTTTGTAAAAATGTAACGGTTTTTTAAGTGACATTTGCGCCAAAATATTTTATATCATACAGATCACCCCTGCGTAATCTTTATTTTTTTCTAACTTTATACGTAATAATTATGATAACTACTAAATATTTTTGCTTCTTATTACGATTATAAAATATTATTTTTCGAAAACTTTACGAAGTTTGAAAATACCATAGAAGCATCAGATTGTTTTAAATAACAATACTCAACAATTATAGTAACTTATTATTTATCTCGACAAAGTATCCGATCTTAAATTAGTGTAGAAAAATTATTTTTTTAAAATATTGGAGATTATGCTAATTTAACACATCGGATACAGACAATACAGTTTATTATAATAATGTAATATGATCTTTTATGAGTTTTTGGTCTTTTTTACTCATACGTTTGTTTTTGGTGAAAAGTACTCAATATACTCGATAGTGATAATGAATAAATTAAATTGGATATAATTTTATTAAATTATTATTTAAAAAAATAAACTTATTGTTTTATTTTATTGTTTAGTTGAATACAGTTGTATATACATTTTTTCATATTTGTACTAGTAACTTTCAATTTTGTTTACGTTTGTTTAAGATAATAAAAATACCGGTAATTTACACCGGTTTTAAAATGAAAAATTACCGAAATACCGGTATTGAAATTTTCCATCGGTATTGCATTCCCTAATACAGACTAACAAAAATACTGTATGTGTTCTAATTTGTTTTTGTTTTTTACCAGATATCGAAGTTGCCAACAGGCACGGTCATACTTGCCTTATGATAGCTTGTTACAAAGGGCATGTCAAGATCGCAAAATTTCTTTTGGGCCTAAATGCACGAGTCAATAGGAAGAGTGTTAAAGGCAATACAGCTTTGCACGATTGTGCAGAAAGTGGCAGTTTGGATATTTTAAAACTTTTGTTGGAACATGGAGCTGTCATGGATGTTGACTCATATGGTAATAAAAAGACAGATTTATGAAGGTTTTCTGTTTTATCATAATCAGACTCATTAGGTATTTGTTACAAACCATTTCTGGTTCAAATGCATATTTTATGTGCACATTTTTTACAAACATCAAACTGCAAACAACATACATCATCGGAGTTGATTAGGGGGCGTCTATTAATCACTTGATCGATTTTTTTAAGGATTTTTGAACCACCCATTGTCTTTGGTGATATGTGTTGATATTCAAAATTAGCCCCTTCCCCTTCCACCAAATATCACGTGTATTTTAGATTTAATTAGTTAAGAGAAAAATGATAAAATTTTCGATTTTTTCAAAAATGTTTGGATTCAAAAAAAAAATAGGTAAAAAAATATATGTAAAATCTTACTATACCCCTCCCTCCCCAACGTGATATAACTTTTTTTTTGTAAAACTTTCCCTAAAAATCTCACGTGATTAATGGACACTGGTTACACATCTTTTACCTACTTTGGTTACAACTTTTACTCTACTTTAAAATAGTGCCATTAATTTTAATTTTTTTGAAAATGTTTGGATTTTTTTTTAAATCAGGTAAGAAAAAAATACACGTGAAATCTTTACTATATATTATATCTTCCCTCCGTCACGTGATATTTAGTGATTTTTTGTAAAAAAAAACCTTAATACTTTCGTTAAAAATTGATTATGTAGCTGGTTATACATCCTTTGCCCTATACTTTAAAGTAGTACCATTAAAATACAACATACTTCACTTATTCAGTAGGGTAAGTTATAGTAATCGCAAAAAATCGAAAATGAAAAATTTTATATATCTTTACGTTTCAAAGGTTTCTGAACATTTTGGCATACTTTAAAAAAAAATAGCTGTATGTGTGTGCGAATACAAATTTTCGTTTGACGATTTCGGGAACACCGATCAACCGATTTGAATAATTCAAAAAACATTCGATTCGTATTGATAAGGAGACGTGCTGATTAGTTTTTGGCGAAGGCAGGTTCAGCTGTCTCGGAGATACGAAGCAAAGAGTGCAGAAAATACAAATCGAGTTTTTGAGAGAACGGAGTATCCGATTGGAATGATCTAAAAAACATTCAATTTGTAATGATTGGGAGAACAGGTGATTAGTTTTTGGCAAAGGCAAGTCCCGCCATTTCGAAGATACAGAACTAAATGTGCAAAAATGGCAGTTTTTGAGTGAACTAAACGTCCGATTTGAATGATCTAAAAAACTTTCTGCTTGTATTGACAAAACAATTGTTTTCGGGGATAAAAAATTATTAAATCTTTTTGTGTTTTCCATAAAATATTTTTGTAATTTTGGATTAAAAATTCAAAAAATTACCCAGGCTGAGCACAGTCTAAGCGCGACTCTGGTACAAATGTTTACCCAAGTGCGTTTAGACTGTTTATGTGGAGCACTTTTCCAATTTTATGTGAAAACTATTAAAAAATGTGAAAATGCCGCCAAGCTAAGCACAGTACAAGTGAAAATGTCGCACAGAATTGTTTGCAAATGCGATTAGACTGTGACTATATAGGAGCACTTTTTCAATTTTATGTGAATTAGGCAACTATTTTTTGAAATTGAATTCGTAATGAAATGACGATTGTTAATGTTCTGCAGTTAAATTGATTTATGGTTTACATTTGATTTGCTCAGATATAACAAGATAGCAAAAATAATTAAAGTTACAGTATTTGTAATAAGATATTTGAAAACGTTTAAAATTTCTTCAATATTTCATTACGGTGCGGGAATTACCAGCAATTAGTCTTAAGGCACGACGCCATACGACTAGTTATTGAAATAATCCTAGTCAATCTTCTTAATCCTTGCCCTAATGAATTTTTATAATTTTTTTTTTTTCTTTTAGGAATGACGCCGCTGATGACAGCAAGCGTGACAGGTCACTCTCGAATTGTAGAACATTTAATAAATCTTCCCTGTGTCACCAGGGAAGATAGAATAGCAGCATTAGAACTTTTGGGAGCAACTTATGTCGATAAAAAAAGGGATATGTTGGGAGCTTTAGAATTGTGGAAACGGGCCATGAATGAAAGGTAAATGATAAAGCAATAAAAAATAGAGATAAGAAATTGTTCGGACGTCTTTTCGTTTTTTTATATTGGCCATGAAGGTGACAAACTTCAGGGCATTAAGCTCTACACGAAACGTTTGCTACCCCTGGTAATTAATATTAATATTATTATTAATTGTACTAGTTGTTCACTTCCAAAAGTAAAGTCCGCTTAACAACATGTAAATAACCAATAAAAATAAATATATCTTCTTTCATTATAACTTAGTAACAAATCAGTGATTGTAATTAGAACTGCAACAAATACATAATATACAAACAAATCAGTGTTTAATACAGTCCGCAGTTACAAGGGTTAAATTATAACCCAACAACCTGAATTATCGAAGGACAGTTTTAATAAATTCTATAACTACGTAACAAAAGTACAGAAATAATGAAAATAGAGATGCGGTATTAGCTTATACTGTGGCGAATAAGGTTCATGAAGTATCATCTTTAGGGATGATATATTTATGAAATATAATTTAGCAGCAATTCACCAATATTAAGAGATTTCCTTTAGAGCTCTAACTCATCCTCTGAAGATATCTGTGATAACTTAAAATCTACGACTACAAGTTAGTTAAATTGAGAGTATTTGAATACACCCATTTACCCCCCCATTTGGAATTCGAAAACCGGTTTTTAGTGAAAAAAGTCGGTTTTTACTGTATAAATGAAAAATGACAAATATAACCAAATATAAAAGATAGATGATAGCGTTTTGATTCTTGAAATCGTATAGGTTCAATGGCATTTGATATCTTATCAGTCTGCAATGGTTCCCAGAAAGGTTTTGTATACATATATTAATTTAGATTTTTATACCAGTAACTTCCTTTACTTAAAAAAAGAGTTTTAAACCCTAGAAGCCATAAACTAAAGAACCAAAAACTTAGAATTTTTATATCAGGCTTTAAAAATAATTAAGCATAATTTGGTCGCAAGTATGAGAGTATTTTCTATTTCCGAAAATTTTGTGAATGAACAAAGGACACGTCTCAGTAGCAATTCCATAGACGTTCTCAGTTTTTTGAAATTATATTTTATTAAACAAAAAAACAATAAGATGTTTAAAATTAATTAATTAAAATTGTTCGGAACAAACAATACCCGAGTTTAGCTTAATTGTTTTTAAAACTAAAATTGATATTAACAAGTATGTTTCAACATGTATCTAATTTCTTTTTTTTTAATTTAATGGATTATTTAAAATTGTATTAGTTTCATTTATTCGAAAACTTTCCTTTCACTATCATAACAATATTTTCATTCCTATATGTGAAAATGATGCATGAATAACGAATAATTATTTAATCAACATAAACTATTATTTTTTAGATCTACTAATTAAAATTAAAATAATTTTGTTTACTATCTACAAAATTGAACAATAAATAAATTCAGTCAAATACTATTCTAAATTACACTAAATTTGCGGATAAATTACAGAATATTTGAGCAAAAATTTATTTCCTATATAAAATTCGAATACCGGTTAGAACCGGTTTTTTTAGTAAAATTAAAATTCGAAAACCGGTTTTCTGAAATGTCGGTTTTTGTATAAACCCTAATAGTAATATATCATTTACTACTAATTTTTTTTACAATTATCTTATGTTTTTATCCAGGTATCACTCGTCATTACCACCTATACCACATGTAGTCAGTACACCAGTACCAGCATATGATTATGCCAGAGAAGCCAGAGATGCCCAAACTTTAGAAGAACTCATGGCAGATCCTGATGAGATGAGGATGCAGGCTTTGGTTATCAGGGAACGAATATTAGGTAATCTTATATATAAAATCTTATATATATATATATATATATATATATATATATATATAAATGAATCGCAAAATGTGTTGGTAAGCGCATAACTCAACAACGCCTGGACCAATTTGGCCAAATCTTTTTTTAAAATGTTCGTTAAAGTCCAAGGATGATTCTTACGGCGAGAATAATTGCCGGAAAAAAACAGCCCTTTACTTTTTCACATACAAACGTTTTCTAACTAAAATCAATAATAGAATCAATTATTGCTATTATATAAAGTTCACATTAAATTACAAGCACTCACTGTATACTCCTCCTAAACGATTATTCGGATTTTGATAAATCTTTCTGAAGTTTGTTGAGGAAATTTTCTAGGATGCATGTGATTGTAAAGTACTGGGATGTATGTGCAATATTGTAGAAATAAATGAAAAAACTTGCTAAAAACGACATGCCATTGTTTGCATTCAAAACAAATAAAAACTATCTGCCAAAAATTTCAATTTACTTATGAACCTAGACAATATTAGAATATGTATAATAAATTTATGATTATGAATAAGAAAAATGAAATGTTTACATTATTATTGCCAAAAAACAGCTGAGATGTGCCAGAAATTAAAATAGTATAAGATACAGTATATGTATGGCAGATTGAATGATACACATATGAACAGGATATGATAAAATAATTCACTTAAAATATAAAATTAAGTATTAATCAGGGCCGGTCCTACTTTTAATGCGATGCATGCGAAAAATACGAGCGCACGCCTTAGGGGGCGCCAACACAAGATTCGGATATTAAATTTTCATTATAGTTTTTTTTCAATATATAATTTCTTTGCATCTTTTCCTAATCTTTCCACAATATTTTTAAAATTCGTAAAAATTTCCCTTTATAACAGCAAATGGGAAAGTAAAGATGAATACATACAATTAGGCCCTCACGATATCGATTAGGAGAAGTTTAAGATGCAATTTTGGATATCTTAAATAATAAAAAATTGAATTAATTTAATCCAACATGAAGTATCAGTGTTATGTTATGGTTATGGTTATGTTATACCTTTCAAAAGACTTCAATTTCAAATAAAGTGTGGGAATTGAGACTCTTCATTTTATTTAAAGCAGTTCTACATTTAACATCGCTCATATTATAAATGTATATGCATTTTGGCGTGAAGAGTAATTTAAAAAAACAATAATAATTATTTTTAGGTAAGCGGTAAATATTAGTATATTATATTAAAAAATTGTCGACATAGTACAGGACAACGTCTGTCGGGTCATCTAGTTATTATATAAAAATGTGTGCATCACGAGTGTTACCATATTACCAAGAAACACTATTCAAAATCGTTACATGATGTATTTATTTTTACTTGAATGCCATATTGTACGATAGCAAATAAGTTTTACTTCATGTCAAAATTTTTTTATAATTTTTTCCCAGGTCCTGCACATCCAGATACAAGCTACTACATCCGATACCGAGGTGCAGTCTACGCCGATTCTGGGCGTTTCGACAGATGTATAGAACTATGGAATTATGCCCTAAACATGCAACAATCAATTCTAGAACCCCTAAGTCCGATGACCCAAAGTTCTTTATTCTCATTCACCGAATTGTTCAGTTTTATGATGGGCGAAGAGGGTAGACCAACCACCAGAGGCCGAGTTGTACCACCGGTGGAGTATGCTGATTTGATAAACGTTTTCAAAAAAGCCGTGAAAGAGGTTGAATTCGGTAGAGACATGTTGGAACGTTTAAAAGATAAAGATTTAACTATGTTGAATAGAATGTTAGTTATTACTTTGCACTTGGCTTGTCTCCTGACCAGGATGTTAGAAACGAACGAAGACAAGGATATAGAACACGATATTTATAAAAATGTGTACGAATTAGTCAAATTGAATGTTAAGGTTAAATTAGGACGTACAGCGTTACATTTATCATGTTGCCGGGATGCAGCTTTAGTAGGCCGGTACCCGGCTTGTCAATTCCCTTCGGCACATTTAGCAAAAGTTTTACTAAAAGTAGGCGCAGATCCAAATGCAACCGATGAACTAGGGAATACTCCTTTGCACTTAGCAGCTTTGGCCAGGCCTTGTCCCCAAGCCTTAGCACAAATTTTGCTTACAAACGGTGCACATTTAGATTTAATAAACATCAACGGCGAAACGTTTCAAAGTTTGCTAGAAGGTCAATTCATCCACGAGCTATGCCAACCTGCCAAATTCACCAAACTAAGTTGCCTTGCTGCTAAGACCATAAAAAATTTCAAAATTCCCTACCGGGGTCAACTACCCAAATGTCTGTACGAGTTTGTAGAAAACCATTAATTATTATATTATAATATTACTATCTTGTGTTACTAATATATAGAAGTTTACTAGGTTTAAGTTCCAGAAGTATAGATTGATGTTTATTTTTATTTTCTTCGCATATTGCAATAATTAAATTAACATATTCTAAATGAAATGGAATAATATATATTTGAAACAGAATTATATGATGAAATTAGTCTTAGCAATAGATGAATTAAATAACCATGATTGTTGAAGACATATGCTCCCCCGAAGAGATGTGGATTCATTTAGCAGTTATGAAATTGTGATAAGGCATGTATGATATTGTATTTTTTATATGCTCTGTAATGTATAAATATATATAGGCCATATTACTTAATAAAGGATTGTCTTCAGAAGAAAACTTAATTTTTTTACAATATCTTATATAAAAATGATGATCCGCTAAAACGCGAAAACGGCTAAACCGATTTGGCCAGTCTTAGTCTTGAAAAGTTCGTGCTAAGCAGTAGGTTGTCGGGAAAGTGAGATATTATTTCAAAATCGCGTAGAAACTTTACATTTTTAATTTGAAATTTTTTGTAGAAGCGTAATTTGAATGAAACAATGGACGGTGGCTAATACGTTAAATGTCAAACGTTTATATAAATATATAGGCCATATTACTTAATAAAGGATTGTCTTCAGAAGAAAACTTGATTTTTTCACAATATCTTATATGCAAAAATGGAGCTCTCGATAAAATGATCCGCTAAAACTCGAAAACGGTTAAACCGATTTAGCCAGTCTTAGTCTTGAAAAATTCGTGCCAATCCAGAGATGGTCGGAAAGGTGAGATAATATTTCCAAATCGCGTAGAAACTTTACATTTTTAATTTGATTTTTTTTGTAGAAGCTTAATTTGAATATAACAATGGACGGTAGCTAATACGTCAAATAGCAAACTTTTTTGATAGATTATGTTCAATTACGTTTAATACGATGTTTTACGTGAATATTATTTAATTATGATTAAATTGTAGCAAGTGTGGTTAAATTTATACGCAAAAACGTTATTAAACGGGCCGCAAGTGTTACTAGAATCTCAAAATATCAACTCTTTTGAAATGTTAATATGAAAATGCACTTTTTGGCATATTTTTCTCAAACACGGTGCTCTGAAAGATCTCATTCGTATAATTATATACTCATTGGTATTTATAGAACATTTTCTAGGTTATATGATTTTTTATTTATGTTATTTTAATTCAGAACCTAAATTTGGTATCGATCAAATGGACATTTTGTCGAATAACATTTTCCCAGTTATAATTTCCCAAAATTTATCGAAGAATAGATAGTAATATATGACGATCTGGAGTTAAAAAGGTCCACTACCGATGTGTCAAAAACCACTAAAGTTAAGCATTGTTTAACAACAATATTTGAAAGTAGAGGGAAAAAATGTATAACCAGCTATAACCTTGATTCTTATGACTTTGCTTCGGGAGATAAACGGTAGTCTTTAAAAATCCATAATAAAAGTATTTTCTTCCGTTGCTAGTTTTTTAGCATTAGTTAAAAATGTAATTATTTTGAAAGATACCTTTAAAATTAAAATAAGACATTAAAATTGAATGCTACTTGAAACTTTGCAAAAAGTAGGTCAAAGAAGAAATATTTAATTCATTTTCTATCTCTCCTCGCAAAAATTTGAAAATTTTGTATAAGCTCAGTAGTATTATTTACAATTATACACAAAATCCAAAATCCAAAAAGAATCTGAAAAACTTGAAACGTAATCAATAAGTCGAAAGAACAAAAAAGACTTGGATTGGAGTATGCCATGTTTTCTATAGAAAGTGTATAAAACTTCCAGTTTGATTGTATTGACAAAATATAGACAAACTAATGTTTTTTTTGCTTTTATAATACCTCATTGTATATAGCATTCAAATAACACATCCTTATACACAAAGTATTAATATTTTTGATTCTCTTGAAATTGTTTAAAATGTACCTTAGTTAGCAAAACACCGTTTGCCGGAACAGCTAGTATATATATGTATATATATATATATATATATATATATATATATATGATAAGAAAATTATAATATTAATATTAGGAGCTAAAACTTTTAGAAAATTTTGTTTTATTACTTTGGAAGCATTTGAGCCCTTAGGAGCAATGAAATTCAAAAATGTCCATATTAAGGACCACCCTAATATTTATATATAAATATATAAATAAATACATATATATATATATATATATATATATATATATATATATATATAGGGCCTGTACTACCTTGAATGCAATGGATGCAAAAAATGCGGGCGCACGCCTCAGGGGGCGCCAAAACGAGATTTGGATATAAAATTTATAATATAGTTTTTTCAATATCATTCAAGAAAAATATACTTTCCTTGCATCTTTTCCTAATCTATGGACAATATATTTGAAATACGTTAAAAATTTCACTTTAAAACAGCAAATGGGAAAGTGAAGATGAATACATACAATTTGTCCCTTACGATTTCTATTACGGTAAGCTTAAGATGCAATTTTGGATATTTTAAATAATGAAACATTAAATTAAAATAATTCAACATGAGACTACCAGTGCTGTTGTTGTGTTTAATAACGAAAGGCTAGAATTTTTTTACTCTCTGATTTGCTCAATTGAATAAATTGCATAAAATCCTCAAAATAAATAAATAAAATCTTTCAAAATCCAAATACTAATATGACGCATACGTTAGAAATAATTGAAATATTAAGAATATTCTTGCAAGTAATAAATAACACATTGAAATTTTTGGATATGTTGCAAAGTTTGGATTGAAAATAAAAATTTAAAAAGAGTTCGGTAGTTCGACAACGATAGAAGACACAAAAATTTGATTATGAGCACCCGCGAATTGCCTCGATCTTCTGAATAATTTTAAAATCATTACATTTTGGGCATTTAGTTTATATATATATATATATATATATATTATATATATATATCTAATTTTTTGTGTACTAAACACAGAATTAATAAAAAGTATTTAAAAAATTAATGTAAATTTTTGTATAGTTTTAATGATGAACTGTTAAAACAGTCAAAATAATAGGAGGCGGTGGCGCTAGAAAAATAATGACATGCGGGCGCTGAGGACCCAGCACCGGCTCTGTATATATATAAATAAATATATATATATATATATATATATATATATATATATATCCTGAAACTCCACAAATACAACACCAAAGCAATTCAAAAAAAATATATATTTCTAATAACCAAAACCTATTACAAGTATAAAATACAAATTTACATCATATATTTATTCCAATCCAGGAACCCTGTACAAAAATCTGCCATCATCATCATAAAAACAGTCGTTGACTTTGTAAGTTTGGCCACGTTGCCAAAACTTTTTAGGAATCTGTATCTTCTCAGGCATCGGCACAACTTTTTTATCGGTCTCAAAACTGCGTTCTTGGTAATTTTTACCAAAAATAGGCACCGGTATGTCCTGGGCAAAAATTTTCTTGGCAGGAGGAGGAAAATTTTGTTGGTCGGGAAGATTTAGTTCTTTTTTGAATTCGCTGAAGGATTGCGGTTTTTTAGACGTCGGAGTACCCGTGTTCATAACATAGGTTTCTTGTAAGGGTTTGTCGAGTTGAGGGAAATTAATAATATCGTCTTTTGTAGAGGGTAGTTTGAGTTGTTCCTTGGTTTTGGTTTTGGAGTTCTCGTAACTTTGGATAATGGAGGAAAATTCTGTGCTTTGGGTTGTGAATTGTGGTTTGTCGAACGTCATGCTTTGTTGCGGTAAGTACTTGGTTTCGTCTAGAATTATTTTATCCCTAGACGAAAATTTTAACAAGTGCTCCTTATACTCAGCATCAACGTCCAGTTCACCCTTCTTCAGCATTTTCCAGTTAGCTTCAACATTTTTATCATGATTTAGTATCCTTTTCGGATCCTGAATTTTCCAGCTGGCTTTTACAATTTTCTGCACTACCTCACAACTGGCAGGAAAAATTTCAGCAAGACGTTCCACAGGATACTCTACAGGATCCGTTTTATGCAAATGCCTAATTTGTTCCTTCTCCGACCAAGTAAGAAAATTCGGCAATTGTTGTTCAAAATATTTTCTCCTCACGATCCAGTTGCGTTCCTTTTGCCTGTACTTTGCCATGTCTTTTTTGAATTCATTATAAGTTGGTGCAAGGTTTTGGAAATCGGATTCGTGTTCGTCGAAATCCAAGGATGGGTCATCCAAATCCAAATTTGCCTGGTCTTCTAGTAAAGATAGGCGTTCTGCTATTCCTGGATTTGATTTTGGACGTACTTTGCGCACGTAATGTCTTTGGTGGACTGTGAAGGCGGCATTTGGGAGTTTTTCGGAATTTAAGAGAAGTCTGGTTAAAAGTCTTAGGGAAAAAGTCATACCTGAAGAAATATACATGTTTATGTATATGTTGTTAAAATTAAGCTAAAGTAATAGCTAAGTTAATAAAGACCCAGCACCAATTTTATTCCTCTATTTTTAAATTTCTGTTTTTTAACAATATTCAAAATTAAAAACATTTCAGAAGGCATAACTGATTTTTTTATAGTTTAAAAATAATTGAAAAGGATTTAAGTGTTTTATATGAGAAAACAAGTTTTGGAGTGGTTTTCTTTAGAAAAAATTGTTTGTGTATTGATTTTCGTGTTAAGGGGCACAACTAGTGTGAAATTTCGAAAAAACTGACTTTTGTTTTTTTTTCATATTTCGGTAGATTACACCTTTAAAAAATGATCCGATCACTATCAAATTTTTTTTACATGTTCTATATATAGTTCTCCGTAAAATGAACTATCGATTTTTTGATCGGATCAAAAATCGAATTTTGGCAGTCGAAAAACGACCAAAATTTTGGCTAAAATCCGACTTTTTTTTTTAAAACGCTGTCATTTTGTCAATTTTTGATTTATTTATTTAAGGGTCTTTTTTTTGTCGCGCCGTTGGAGAGCGACGATAACTTAAAACATATTTAATTTTTTTCTTCAAAAATTTTACTATGTATTCTTAAAACATGTATAAATATATTCCTAGTATTTTGAAATGGTTGATAAAGTAGTTGTTTTAATATAAATTCCCAAAAATCACCTTTTTTTAGGCGGTTACACTAGTTGTGCCCCTTAAGGATAGTTCTTATAAATCAGTTGTAGCATAAAAAATATATAAGAGTTATGTAGTGTGTTATTTTTTTTAATCCAATGAGTTTCATAAGTTCCATTTCCACCAAAATAAAAATTAAACGTATTCCTCTAGAATTATATCAAATATAAATATTTTGATAAATTTTATTAGTTTGGTTGCTTTAGGACGCCTATTTTAAATGAAAATCACAAAAATTTGCAAATTTTTACCTAAACCATCTTTCTCCATGATATCATGAATAATTATGTAAACCATTACATGACTTTTTTGCAAAAACAATAACAAGTAAAATAATAAAGTCTGTTAAGAATTTTAAAAATGTAGTTCATATTGTCTTTCAAGAACCAATAAAAATAAATGAAAGCCACAAGCAAATTTATGGCTATCGATGCAAATTTAAATTTAAAAATATTAAATTTTCAACTCGTAAAATTTTATATGAATTTTGCTGCAAATATTTATATAAGAAATTCAAAGCTATTAAATTAATATAACATACCTTTTATTTTGAAATCTGATTTTCAACACAACAGTATTTAGTAATTTGAAATTGATTTATACATGTCGACAACAACAATAAGACTTAGTGCTTGAAACTTGTTTTGCACTAAGGCTTTGTGAACAATCTTGAATCTGGAATTGAAAAAAAATAAATAAATATTAATAAATAAGCTTCCATAATAATGAATATTATTTTAGGCTCTTGTTGAGCTATATGTATATATGATAATGTTCTCTTAATGTCCAGTCGAGGCTGCAAAATATTTACTTTTATATGCCCATAAAAATAGTAATCATTACGAGAATAATAATAAGCAACCATACCAATATTAACAATGCTTTATAATATTTATAATTATAATGGGATATCATATAGTCAGGCCACATATATAAATTACAAGAACTTGTTATCGAAATTGAATTAAAAAGATTCTGAATATAATAAAAGATAAGTTTTTTTCAAAAATTTACATAAGAAAGCTTACAGTTTTGTATTACACAAATAATGAGTGCAGGAATGTTTTATTTGTTATTTGTTTACAGCAAAATTTAGTACTGTATGTTAGATTAGGTCAGAGTAATTCGAAGACTTGTTTAGAAGAATAGTTTAAAATTTTGAACTTAAATTACCTTATGTGATTACTTAAGTAATAATTAAACAATAATGATTATAGGAGAGTATATGATGATCAGGCTACATAGATAAATAATAAGGATTAAGCAAGAAACTAGTTATCAAGCTTGAAATGAAGAATAGATTCTACGATATCTAAAAAAACATTTAAATACTAAATTAAAATAAATGAATAACAAATTTAAATAAAAAGGCAATGAAATGTTATGATATACAAGTAGATATTAACTGGAAAAATGTACTACTTGCTATTTAACTTAATTATAGCTTATAATTAAGTACTTTGTCAGTAAGGTTAGGTTAAAGTAGTTGAAAAGTTTTTTTTATAGCAAATCGTTCAAAATTTTTAACTAAACTTGCCATATGTGTTTAACTCCAGTAATAATAAAACAATAATGATTATAGAAAATCATATGATCAGACTACATGGATAAAGGATTAGGATTAGGCAAGAAATTTGTTATCGAGCTTGAAATGAAGAAAAGATACAATGATGTCTTAAAATACAAGTTTAATAAAAAGTTTACATAGGAAAACATGTAATTTCGTGTTATAAAAGTTCTACATTTTAATTGGAAGAATGTATTACTTGCTATTTAACTTAATTATGGCAAAATTAAGTATTTTGTCAGTTAGGTTAGGTCAGAGTAATTCGATGATTATTTTTTTTAAACAAACTGTTTAAAATTTATTACTAAAATTGTCATATGTGTTTATCAGAGTAATAATTAATAAAATGATATTAAGAGATTATACAGTCAGTCTACATAAATAAGGAATAAATATTAGGCTTATCGAAATCAAATCGAGAAAATTATTTGATATCAACTGATTTGATATCAAAGTTTGAAATTTCAAAAAAAAGAATGAAAAGCATGAAACTATTCATTGTCTAACTTTCAAATATCAAATGAAAGTATTATAATGTTTGTTACTGCTTGTTTAATTTTATTACAGCAAAATTAAACATTTTGTCAGTTAGGTTAGGTCAGAGCAATTCGATGAGTTTTTAACAATTTGTTTAAAATTTTGAACTAAATTTATCATATGTGATTACTGGAGTAAAAATGAAGAGATTATACAGTCAGTCTATATAAATGAAGGATAAGTATTAGACAAGAAATTAGTTAGTAATCGTGGAAGAGAGTACTGCAGCCGGTGGGTTAGGTTAAGTCAAACCAATTCAAACATTTTTCTGGCAAATTGTTTGAAATTTTAAGCTAAATTTGTCATAAGAACTGTGATGATTAGTATATTATTAAACAGTCATTCTGATAATCTGGCATATATAACGAACTTGTTTTGTGCCTAAAATTGCAAAGTAAAGAATTAATCATGGAAGATAGTAGTTGGTAAGTTAGTTTAGGTTAAATAAATTCAAACATTTTTCTGGCAAATAGTTTGAAATTTTAAACTAAACTTGCCATATATCATTTATCTATTACTAATCTGAAATTCTGGCAATCTAGCATTTATGGCAAACCAGTTTTTGTGCCTGAAATTACAAAGAAAAGAATTAATTGTGGTGGTAACAGGCTACATAGATAAAGGACAAATTTTGGTCAAGAAATTACTTATCGATTAATTAATCTGTCTCAAACAAATTTTGCAAAGACACAAGACAAATTTTATAAGGACTTTAAATGAGGTGGTATAAAATCTCAGGTCTAAAGATATCTCTAAAGAATGATATTACTCAGTTCAATTTAATTACATCAAACTCAAGTTCTTTAATTGGTAAGTTAGGTTAGGTTAAAACAATTCGAAGACTTTTAAACATTCGAAGAATTTAAACATATTGTTCAAATTCATCAGAAAATTTAAATCAAGTAGCATGTAATTTTGTGTTGTACACGTTACAAATATTCAATAAAAGAATAATATCATTTCCTATTTGTTTAAAATCAATTGTAGCAAAATGCAGTACCCATAGGTTAAGTTAGGTCAAACAAATTCAAACATTTTTCAACAAATTGTTTAAAATTTTAAACTAAACTTGCAATATGTCATTTGCCTATTATGGCAAACCAGTTTTTGTGCCTAAAATTGCAAAGAAAAGAATTAATTGAGACTTACTTGATAAATTAGGTTAGGTAGCACAAATTTAAAGATTTTTTTCACAAATATTTTAAAATTTTAAACTGAACTTGCCAAATATTATTGGTGTACTAATAAGCAGCCATTTTGGCAAACTGGCAAATATGGCGAAACGGTTCTTGTTTAAAAATTGTGCAAAAATCTTTTGTTGTGATTATAGGTTATGTTAAAATATTGCAAGTAAAATATAAGCAATAAATAAATTATGTGAGTTAAATTATGTAATAAATAAACTAGCTAATACGCATATACATTAAATATATGTGACTTTAGTGTAGTGTTACAGAAATTTGTTTAGTTCTCTTGAGCCAAAGTTTGTGTATCAAAAAAATTGTTTTATACATAATGATACGTGTACATAACATTTAATATACATTTTATACTCACCAATTATCCAAATAACTATTATTTTAATCACAACATTAATTATTAATGCCAATAATTACTTTTAAAATTATTCTGTATTATATTTGACAGTTGCGAAGTTTGTGCGGTTTGAGTTAATGTTGAAAGTGTGGCTGTTTGCTGAAAGATGGCGGCAGGGTCGTTAAGGTAAGCGCGAAATTTGAATTTTGAAATGTTTATGAACATATTTTTATTTATATATATGTAGTTTATTTTATTGTTGTTTTGATGAATATATGTTTGATTGAGTAGGAATAGTATAAATACATATAATTTATTACATAATTGGTATAAGTTGTATGTATTTAGAGATTTTTTTACAGTTTTTGTTGTTTTTTAATGAATAGTATAAATATTTTTATCCTTTTTGTTGAATATTTTTTAAAAACTTATCATATATCTTGTTTGCAGCAAATAAGGGCCAATAGTTTGATAATGTTTCAAAAAACATACAATTTATAACATAATTGGTGTAAGTTGTATGTATTTAAGGTCTTAATTACAGTTTTTCTTGTTTTTTTTTTTAATGAATAGTTTAAATATTTTTATCCTTTATGTTATATATTTTATTTTTAAAAACTTATACTTTCTGTTTGCAAAAAATAGAGTAAATAGTTTAATAATATTTAAAAAAAGCATAATAATAAGGGACTTATGATGATGTAATCATTATTATCAACTTTTTGATAAATATTTAAATATAATTAGCCAGAAATTATTATTATATTTCTGAGATCGTTATTTAATATTTTATGTTTTAATATTTATAATTCATGGTGTTTTGTTATAAATAATTTTATACAAATTGGTTTTAATTTAAATACCAATTTTCTCACAATTATGGACTTAATATATTTTTCGTTAACTAATACTTAAATTAAAATAACTTTAATTAATTTGGGTTATTAGTATCAGTACATTAATTCTTTAATTTACTAATTTTCTAATATTTTTATGTATTATATACTCGATTAATAATCAATTTCCAAATTACAAAACAAACAAATTAATGTTTTATTCCTGTTTGCTAATTTTACAAATTTTTGTCGTCATCAGTTATTCTGAATCGTTTGTCACCAACATTAGAAAAGGTTAATTGTTTGTGGCAAAACTTGATGTTTTATTTTATTTTTATTTCGAAAATTTGAGAGCCGTTTGATGAAACTTGATAAAAACTCGGTTGGATTATTTTTGGAAGACGATCTGCTGAGTCGTTTTTTTATTGTTATCAGAAAGATTCAAATATTTTCTTCCACGCTCTAGTCAAAAATCTTGGCTTGATTTTAAAAATTTTATTAGTTAGAAAGCTAATTAGTTTTGGACAAAGATCAGCCAGGCCGTTTCTTTGAAATTAACAAACTAAAGTATTATAGCACTACAAAAGAGGTTCCTTATTAAAAACTAACTAAAATTTAAATTAATCGACCGCGCTTTTAGCAAATTTAGAAAACTTCGTATAGTTATTTGGCATATTCAAAAATAAAAATTTTGGTTCAAATTTGAATAATTTGCTATAGTTTTTCACATTATTATGCTCTACAGCAACTCGGTATACTTATAAATAACTCATAAATTAATATATTGATTTCTTATTGATTAAGTCGATTTTGCACTCATGTCGGGAAGTTCATGCAACTTGCATTAACGCAAAATGCCACTTACAACTAGTTACTTCTGGAATAGTTGGTAAAACTGAGACATTATGATTGCGTTACTTATTATTTACAAAAGCTCAAAGAATTTAAATTTAAATTTTTCAATTATTTTTACATAGGCACTTGCACTTGCACAACCCTGATCCATGCCACCAAAATGCACCTTTTGTTATATTGGGTTTGTTGCCAAATATGATAATACCTAAATAGGGTCAATAGTTGATGAAAAATACTGTAATTTTAGTCTTTGGGAGGCACTCAAAGTGTTAACATCGGTTTTAGTCGTGGTTCGTCTTAATTTCGAAGAGTGCCCTTTGTCCGCGTCGAAGGTATATTTTGAGTTTAGTTTAGTGTGATTTTACCAAAAAAATTAGTAATTAAATGGTAAGTTATAGATTGTAGGTATATATATATATATATATATATATATATATAAATTATTCAGTTTAGGATATTAAGCAAATTTCATAATTTGCAATCAAAATTGCTTCAGACTTGTACACACTTTGAACTTGTAACCAAAAAAGCGAAGAAAGTATTTTTTCTGTATTAATAATTAGCAATCAAAATACACAAATTCTATTTTGTGACGTCCGTAAAAAAATAAATTCGAAAAATTAGATAAATGTGATACATAAGTTGTAACAATTTTTAAATAAAAATTGCATATAAACTCTCTAGCCAATTTCTGAAACCATTATACCAAAAACCATCATAGAAATTCAAAAACCAAATCGCCACTTAATTAACACGTCAGTCATATGTGTCTGACGTTAAGAAGTTCTACATGATATATATATATATATATATATATATATATATACAGGGCCGGATTTAGAAATTTGGCGCCCCGGGGCACTGACAAAAATGCCGCCCCATCCCTGAAATTTTACGAACTTTCGAACTTTTTTTTAAAGCAATCGCGCTGCTTCAGCTGCGAGGGATAAAATATAGAAGCGCGTAAGCGCCGCGTCGCAGTCTAACGGATAAACAATGTTACAGAACTTATATAATGTAAACAAAATGTATACTTATTATTATAATATCTTTAAAATATCTGATAATTTAATGTGCATATGTCTTATGATCACTTTTGTCCGCCAAATGTTTCTTTTTCAAATTTTTTTATTGAACCATCGAAACCGCTAAACCTGCCCCCCATAAATTTAAGCAGTTATTTATTGTGTAATTTTTTTTTAATGTTATTGGTCGCTTTTTTCTCAAAAACTCAATTATTATTTTTGGCATTTTGGCCCGTATCTTCAAAACAGTTGTACCTGCCTTGACCAATAACTAATCGCACGTCTCCTTATCAATAGGAATTGAATCATAAATCGGTTGATCTGTGTTCTCGAAATCGACTTGAATAATTAAAAAATATTAGATTTGTATTGATGGGGAGACGTGCCGATTAGCTTTTGGTACAGGCAATTACGAAAAATGGTAATTGAGTTTCGATATTTCTTCTCTGAAACAGCTACGTAGCGCGATTGCTTAGTAAAAAGTTCTTAATTTTCGAAAAATTTCAAAATACAAAAAATGTGTTTTAGAAGTCTTTTTTTCATTTTTCAATAAAATTTAAAACTCTTTATAAAATGTAATTTTCAGTAAGGGATGTTTCAGTAATTTGTCTTAAGAAAAAATGCCATGAGTCACTAGTTTAAATATTTTTTTTCGACGATATTTGCTTGGAAGTGCATAAATACGTCATTTTAAGAGGTCTCGAGAACTGAAGAACAAATTTTTCTTAAACTTTCACCTTGTTTACGAATCTTTATATTAGCCTAATTCCCAAATTTGATAACTTAATAATCAATTTGATAATTTACGTTCGGAGAGGGAGGCTAGGCAAAATAATAAATTTTAGTTAACATTTATTTCAACCCAAATTTTGCATTGCAATCGTTTTATGTTTTGTTAATTATATTTCTTGAAATAAAAAATGTTGTTAAAAAAGTTGATTATATTGTATAGAATTTTTTTCTCACTATCCAAATTTTGCCGCCCCCCAAAATTTGCCGCCCTGGGCAGTAGCCCCGATTGCCCCTACTGTAAATCCAGCACTGTATATATATATATATCTGATATAGGTAATTCGATAAAAGGAGAAAAAAATTTCAATAAGGTTTCTTGATACATTTCTAACTAAAGTATCTAATAAAGTTACCATGTCCCATGAGATTTTTTTTGATATTATAGTGACAAATAATGTAAGTAATGACATTAAAATTATACATTTTTAATTAAAATGTAATAAAATTGGATATGAATTTTAAAAAAAATATTAGGAAAGATTTATGCAACGCAAAATTAACAAGAAAGTTGTACAGTATAGTGAAATTATATAAGTGCGTTTTGCTTGCTATTACAACTAATTTTATTCAAAATTTTGATATCCAGGTGTATATAACAAGTTTTACTAGATTTTTGTAAATTTTATCTAGTTTGCAATAATGTAAACAAATAATAATGTCTGATATGAAAATTATAAGTTATTTGAACAAAAGCAAATAAATGTTTGCGAATTGCAAATTATCTAAATACTAAAGTCTGCATTTCGACTACAAATTATTCAAAATTTTAATATACAAGTGTATATTAAAAGTATAAGTTTTACTATATTTTAGTAAATTTTATCTAGTTTTTACCAATGTATATAAAACGGAATAGCCTGAAAAAAATTTCCAAGGTATTCAAAGAAATATAAAAAAAATGTTCCAAATCCATGCTAAATTTATTACCAGAAAAATGTTCCAATAAGTTTTATTCAAAGTTTTGTTACGTAAGTGTATATAACAGGTTTTACCACATTTCAATAAATTTTATCTATTATTTATTGATGTAAACAAATAATAATGTGTCAAATGAAAATTTCAAGTTATTTGAAAAAAAAAAGCAAAAAAAATGTTCTAATGATTACATATTGCTAATTATCAAAATACTAACGAGAAAGAACTATGTCCGTTGATGATTTCCAATTAAAATTTCTAGATTTTGGCAATTATATAACAAAAATTAAATCAC